TTATACTCGGATGACACTAAAGGCCAGATATATAAGCATGTCATTTTACTTTGGCTTGAAGATCTAGCCACGAGAATGGAAGAGTGGCCCTTCTTCTCTGGCCTTTAGACCTCTTAAATTTAGAAATTCATAACAGTTTCTGTACCATATGTCCTGACACCTCTACGTTTCTCATTACTTCTCTGGATCTAGTTCAAGGCAATACAATTTGGAGGGTTTTTTGTGTTTTTTTTTTTCCAATAAAAAAGTGAAGACACCTAAATGAAATATTCATGCAATGTCCAACAATCAATTTTATGTCCAAGACCAATTATAGTATCAAGGCAATTGTTGATATCATTTCTTTTGGGGGAATGTTTTCTATACTATCTAGGAGATGAACCCAATGATATCATTATGTTTTCACATTTAAAATTACTGGAATAATTAAGAAAAGTAAGCCAAGAAAATAAAGTTTTACTTGGAATGCTAAAAAAAAGAAAAAAAGAAAAGGTGCATGGTATTATTTCAGTCTTCAAATAATTTTCAAATATTTCTTTTTTAAAAAAAAAGATTTTATTTATTTGAGAGAGAGAATGAGAGACAGAGAGCACGAGAGGGAAGAGGGTCAGAGGGAGAAGCAGACCCCCCACTGAGCAGGGAGCTCGATGTGGGACTCGATCCCGGGACTCCAGGATCATGACCTGAGCCAAAGGCAGTCGCTTAACCAACTGAGCCACCCAGGCACCCGATTTTCAAATATTTCAATCAAGTATTTGTTGGGCCTGTTTTGTGACCAAAAATGTGATCTATCCTGGAGATTGTTCCATGTGCACTTGAAAAGAATGTGTATTCTGCTGTTTTAGGATGGAATGTTCTGAATATATCTGTTAAGTCCATCTGGTCCAGTGTGTCATTCAAAGCCATTGTTTTTCTGTTTAGATGATCTGTCCATTAATGTAAGTGGGGTATTAAAGTCTCCTACTGTTATTGTATTACTCTCAATTAGTTCCTTTATGTTTGCTTTAAAGGCTAGTTTATCCAATATAAGTATTGCTATTCTGGCTTTCTTTTCACATCCATTTGCATGATAATTGGTTTTCCACCCCCTCGCTTTCAATCTGCAAGTATCTTTATGTCTAAGATGAGTCTCTTGTAGGCAACATGTAGATGGGTGCTGTTTGTTTCGATTTTTTTAATCCATTTGACACCCTCTGTCTTTTGATTGGAGCATTTAGTCCATTTACATTCAAAGCAGTTATTGATATGTATTTATTGCCATTTTATCACTTGTTTTGTCACTGTTCTGGTGATTTCCTCTGATCCTTTCTTGTCTTTGTCACTTTTGGTCTCTCCTTTGCACTCCAAGAATCCCCTTTGATATTTCTTGCAGGGCTGGTTTAGTGGTCATGAATTCCTTTGGTTTTTATTTGTCTGGGAAAATCTATCTCTCCTTCTATTCTGATTGATAGCCTTGCTGGATAGAGTATTCTTGGCTGCACATTTTTCCCATTCAGCCCTTTGACTTTATCATGCCATTCGCTTCTGGTTTGCCAAGTTTCTGTTGTACAATCTCCAGCTAGCCTTATGGGTTTTCTCTTATAAGCTAAGGACTTCTTTTGTCTTTTTGCTTTTAAGATTTTTTTTCCTTTATCACTATATTTTGCAAATTTAAATACAGTATGTCTTGGTGTTGGCCTGCTTTTGTTGATTTTGATGAGAGTTCTCTCTGCCTCCTGTATCTGGATGTCTGTTTCCTTCCCTCAGTTAGGGAAGTTTTCTGCTATTATTTCTTGAAATAAATTTTCTGCCACCTTTTCTCTCTCTTCTCGGACTCTTTAGAATACGAATGTTATTACATACATACAATCTGTTCTCGTTTTGCAGAATTCTTCCTATCTTTTATTCAGGTTCATTATTTTCCATTATTTTGTCTTCTAGATCACCAGTTCCTTTCTCTGTGTCTTCCAACCTGATGTTCATTGCATCACACCTGTTTCCAATCTCATTTATTGTATTTTTCATCTCTGATGGATTCTTTTTTAACTCTTTTATCTCTGTGGTAAGTGTCTCACTGATGTCTTCTATTTTTCTCAAGCCTGCTAAGTATCCTTATGATTGTTGCTTTAAATTCTTCATCAGACATGTTACTTATATCTGTTTTGCTTAGATATCTGGCCATGGTCTTATCCTTTTCTTTCATTTGGGATAAATTCCTCCATCTTAGTATTTTATCTAATCTCTGCCTTCTTCTGTGTGTTAGAAAAGCCAGTTATGTATCCTGCTTCTGAAAATACTGGCCTTATGAAGAAGAAATCATGTAGTACCCAGGGTCTGGCACTTCAGGGAGTGTCTCCACTGTGTACTGAGTATGCTCTGCTGTTGTGTTTTGGCTGCTCTCTCCTTCGGGCCAGTTTTCTGCAGAGGCTCTCCTAGCCTCCTGTGGGCAGTATTTGGTCCGTGACTGAATGTAGTGAGTTTTAATGAGGTGTGCTCTGGTCTGCCTGTAAAATGAGACCTGATACCACCTCCACCAGAACTGGGGCCCTAAATCTAAATCTGCTCAGAACCCTCTGGTCTGGAGACATGGTGTGGGCAGGGGTCTGTGCTGGTCTTCTGGAGTAGCGGCCCACCATGCTGAGACAGAGACAAGTTTGACTAAGAAGGGCAGTCCCACCAGAGCTCAGGGGGTTGGGGTTTGGCATAAGCACCTTAGGCGGCCAATATTCATGCTGTGCTGCTTCCCACAGGTGGCTCTGTATTTATGTTGAGGGGTGGGGGAGGGAAATGGCACCAGCCAGCTCCTGTGTTTTCAGAGAGGTGTCTCGGTGAATGCTGCCTCTCAGGGTTTAATTGAATTAAGGAAGAGACCCACAGTGAGGACTTCAGTTTGGAAACTACTGGACTAGTACTGGAAGTAATGATGGGACCAAAGGTTGGGCCATGAAATGGAAATGGAATACACAATTGAAAGACAATTTAGAAGTAGAATCATTAGGAAAATTAGAAATCAGGAGACCATCTATTGTAGGGTTTTGGTCTTTGCAGACTCCTTGGGGCCAAATGATGATTAGCCTTATATGCCATGCAGAGGAGTGTTGATTGTGTGCCCAAAGAAGTAGGGAATCCAGAAAATGTTATTAAACAAGGATTTTTAACAGATTGTCTAATCCACCTCCCTGTTGTTGGACATAAGATAGCTGAGACGCTTGTGGTCAGGTGAATTACATTAGGCCACATTCCTAGTTAGTGACAGAACTAGGTTCCTGACTCTGGGGTTTTCCATATTGCATCCTATTCTGATTGTGTCTCTAACCGATCATTTTTTTCCTTAATCATGCCATGGCCTTACTTAAGTATCTTACTACTTAATTTTTTCCTTTTAAAATATACAGAATGTTATAAATGGTAGGTTCATTTATTGATTCATATGATAATTGCAGTCCTGAAATTATCTCTTAACCTTGAGGAAGATTTAAAATACATTGGTATAAGGTGGTTTTTGGTTTTAGTTTTGTTGTTGGTGAACCATTTTGCAAGTAGAAAAAAAGTCTGTTTTGTGTCTGATAAATTCAGATTTTTAGAAATTAGATTTATTCAAAACAAAGCATTTTCCTAAAGTGCTTAATTTTATATTATTGGAACCATTTTTTTGTAGACAGTGTATCATAGAGAACTCTGTTTAAATATCAGTTTCATTACTTAATTTGTGAATCCTTGGGCAAGTTGGTAAATCTCTGTCAACCTCACTCTCGACTTTAGTTTGGTGGAATAGTCTTAATAGTACTTAATTCACAGAGAAAGTTAATCGTACTAAGTGAGATGATTGCAAAGCACTTAGGACAGTTTCTGTTACCTAATAATTATCTGATACATTTTAGCTACTGTTAGATTTTTATTTCCTATTGCCTTATGCTAATCAGTAATGTAATTTATAAATACTGTTAGCCAAAAGTAAATCAATTAACATATATTGTGAATTTCTCATCAAATAATATTTTAAGTCCAACAGCACTAAAATGGTTGATTTATAATACCTACATAAAATATAATTAAGAAATAAATATGGGCAGTTCCTACACTAAAGTAGCTTTGTTCCTAAAAATGTTTATGTTTTTTACATAATCCAAGTGTTTTGTATTCATACTTAATGCTTAATTGGTAGGATATTAAAAATCTTTTTTTCTGTTTCAGAAAGTCTTACTATTCTAAAATCTTTTTCTATGGGGAGTCAAGAAGATATTGAAACTTATTTGATACTGATGGAACATTCAAAAAACTTATTTTTGTCCTTTGCAACTATAATTTCTAAAAAAAATTAACTATTATACTATCTTGAGACAAATGTTTGAATTCATTATATTAAGTGGTTATATAATACATACTCCTGGTGTTTAAGGAGTGATCAAACATTGAAGCTTTGGTTCATTTTCATAGAAAAACCAATCAGTGATATTTCTTTAACTCTATAAATTCAGGAAGTTATAAGCGTAACTATATTCTACTTAGCACTGCCATTCTTGTTAGGTAATTTACTAAGATGATAAAGTGCTTTTTCATGAAATATGAATCATTTGAGTATGAAATATAATTTATCCAAATAAAGTATTAATGACTCCCACTTTATACCCCTGCCCTTCACCTATACTTTTCCTCTTTACTCTTACACGTGCATTTATTACTGATAAGTAATAAAGGAATCTTTCAGTATCTACCCCTTAGATCCATTTTTAGGTGCATAAGAGTTACTAGTGATTTTACCAAATTTAGATTCCTTTTCTAGCTTTTTTAATTCTTTATGGCCTATGAAAAGTGTTTATTAATTTACTTTCTATTTTAGGCAAGCCAAGTTAGATCTGAGAGTTGCAGCAGCAAAAGTGGAAGAGTTAAATAAGACGACTGAAAATCTTCAAGGACAAATGCAAAAGAAGGTATTTTCCTATTTCTAAGACAACTGGAAGCCTATAGCTTAGTTTTCTGTGAATTTTATTATTAATATTTTTTGGATTAGGTGTTAAAGAGGGTTGCTGGAAAATAAAAATCATTTTATTGCTCTCTAAATATAAAATATGAAATTAGGAAGCTAAATTATAATTTTGGAAATTACTTCCATTCACTTTATCCTGAGTCAGTAAAACATTGTAATCATTCCTAGACACATCATTACTGAAAGACATATTAAGGCAAGATGAAGTTTGATTAATTGGTAATACATAGATGAAAAGAAGCATGTAATACTACATTTTGTGTTATTTATGGAAATACTTATTGGCATAAGAGACCCTGGTTTTTATGTGTAATAGTGACATTTCAGGAAAGTGTCAAGGAAAGGTCAGGCTTTAGATTTAGGTGGATATAATTATTAAAAATTCTAGCTGTGGTATTTACTAGCTGTGTAACTTTTCTAAGCCTTATTTCCTAATCTGTGAAAGTTGATTATAGATTTCTAATGTGATTCGTGAAAGGCTTATGTAAAACTTTCCATAGATAACAGTTATAAAACTTGGATACTTTCTTTAAAACACTGGGACACACCCAAAAATAGAAAGACACTGAAAGAGGTACAAATTGTAAGTTTTTGAATTTCTGACCTGAGAGTTCTTGCGAACTGCCGTAGCTGTGGCTTCAGAAAACAACAGCTCTATGTGGGCTTAAATAGCCAAGATGAAAGTTAAGGGTAGGAAAAGCAGTTGAAAATTTAAAGAAGAAATATTGGCAACAAAAGAACAACAACAACGAAAAACAGAGAGAAAAACCTAAATCCTGAGTATAAACTCTGACCAGATCCAGGGCTGACAGCCAAAGTAGGCATATGGGGGTAGGAGAGGGAGTTGAGTGAAAAAGTAGGCAGGGATCTGAAAGAAAACTACTCTTGAAAGATAGAGCTATATGGAACTATATGTCTGAGTTTACCGCTTCTTATAATTGATTGCATTCCTGAAATGTGTGCTGTTCAAGCAACAGAAAGCTGAAGCCTTAATGTTTGTATCAGAGGACAGAGCCCAAAGCAGGCAGAGCAGCTTGAAATTACAGGGGAATCTCCAAGACCAACAAAATCATGAAGAGGATGAGCCCTGCCCCTGCCCAAACTTGACCAATCCTTAAAGTATGTAGGCACAAGAGAATTTCCAGGAAGCCTAGGTAAAAAAGCAACCATGGAAAGAAATAAGAACTGATTACATATGGCAGCTGCTGCATACTATAGAGGAAACATTCCAGAGCTTGAATCGAGGCAAGATAATTGCCTCCTTGAACAGAAAAACTAATAATCCTCAAGAACAAAACAGAATCCAGAGTAACTGCAGTGCATTATCTATATTATACAGTTTTCAACCAAAACTCTCTAGACAGGAAAGTGTGACTGATGGGGGTGGGGTAGGGGAAGCAAAGCAGTCCATAAAAATTCATTCTCAGCAGACCTAGCTCTTGGATTTAGCAGGCAGAGGCTTCAAATAAGCGGTTATAAATATGTTCAAGGAATTAAAGAAAATGTGCATTTAAGTTAGAGTAAAATAAGGCTTCAGTGATGGAGCAGATAGAGAATTTTAACTGAGAAATAGAAAATAATTTTAAAAATAGAAATTCTGGAGTTTAAAAGTACAGCAACCAAAATAAAAATTTAATTAGATGGGCTCAAGAATAGATTGGAAAAAGCAGAAGAAATAAGCCATGAACTTGAAGACAGATCAACAGAAATTTTCCTATCCAAAAAACAGAGTTTAAAAGATGGAAGAAAAATGGGTGGCTCAGTCGGTTAAGCGGGTGGCTCTTGATTTCAGTTCAGGTCATGTTCCCAGGGTCCTGGGATCAAGTCCCGCATTGGGCTTCGTGCTCAGCAGGGAGCCTGCTTCTCCCTCTCCCTCTGCCTGCCACTCCCCCCTGCTTGTGCATACTCTCTCTCTCTCTGTGTCAAATAACTAAATAAAAATCTCTAAAATAAAATAAAAGATGGAAGAAAAATGAACAAGACCTCAGAGATCTGTGGGAAAATACGAAGCAAGCCAACAGGAATGTAATTGGAATTGCAGAAGGGAGGGGGACGGAAAAGATGTTTAAAGTAATAATGGCTGGAAACTTCCAAACTTTGGTGGAAAACAGGTAGGATAAACACAAAGAAAATTACTTCTGCACATCATGACAATACTGACCGCCAGTTATAAAGTGAAAACTTGAATGCAGCAACAGGGAAATGGCATGAACTGGGCAACAGTGGTAAGAGTAATGGCTGACTTACAAGAAACATGTGAGCAAAAAATATTGGAATAATATATCTGAAGTGCTGAAGGGGAAAAAATGCTCACTAAGAATTCTATGTCCAGTGAAACTGTACTTCAAAAATGAAGGTAAAATAAAGGCATTTTCAGATAAATGACACTGAGAGAATTTGTCACTAGCAGAGCTGTTGTTCAAAGAATGCCAAAAGAAATTCTTTAGGCTAAAAGGAAAGGACACCAGATGGTGACTCAGATATAGGAAGAAATTAAGAGCAACAACAATTGTAAATATGAAATATTTTTGTACATTTTTTTCTCTAATTAATACCTTAAAAGCTATGACTGCTTTAAAGCAGAATTGAGCAGTGTATGTGATGGATTTATTTCTTTTTCTTTTTTTTAATTTAGATTCAATTAATTAACATACCATGTATTATCAGTTTCAGAGTTAGAGTTCAATGATCTCTACCTATGTGATGGATTTGTAAAGTACACAGATGTAATAGAACAATGGCACTCAAGACTAGGATGGTACATGGAGATAAATACTTGTTGCAAGGTTCCGATGTTTTCTCTGAACTAGATATTAACTCTGAATAAATTGGGATGAGTTAAAGATACATACTATAATTTCTAGAGCAACTACTAAAAATTAATTCAAAGAGATATAGCTAAAAGTCAGTAGAATTAAAATGGTATGTAAAAAAGAACACAACAGAAGGCAAGAAAGGATAAACAGGATTTTTTGTAAAGGCGGTAGAAATCAAACCTATTTATTTCAAAGCATTGCTAGGTCAGAGAAGAAATATCCTATGATTGTAATGGTATGCTATATAACCAAGTTTTAAAAGAGCATATTCTAAAGGCAGATTATTTGCATACAAATCCCTGCTTTGTTTTGTTCGATTTGCACTATAGAAATAGTTTGAAATATTGGTAGAAATTTATATGCAATGACTTTTTATTATTGTTTTTCTAATACAAAATCGATAGTGAGATTTTCTTCCCCTTTTTTTAGTATGTACATGATTTATTTCCAAACTGTTATTGCTTGTTTATTTTCAATTTTATTCCTTTTCTAGTTATAAAAGTAGTGCATGCTATTCCTAAAAATTCAAATAATATTGAAAAATATAAAGAAAAGCACAACGTATATACAAAATATATAATAGAGGTAATGTAAGATTACCTTGCAGGTCTATCCCTAGGAAATAATCACTGTTAACAGATTGTTTATAGCTTAAAGACGTTTTTTCTGTGTGTGTATATATATATGCATATATGTTTAAATTTTTTTAATGTGAAAGGAGTCATGCCGTAAATACTATGCTACAGAATGTTTTTTAGTGAAACAGATTTCATGGACAGCTCTCAGACATCTAGATCAATTTTTAAGGAGTTGATTAGATAATGCTGTATTGGTATCCCTTCTTTAAACTTACATATTAAATTCTAGAAGTGTAATAACTTTATAGAGTGAATTCTTTTCTTTATGTTGTATAATGATGTATTGTATTTTCACATACTCAAGCTTCCAGTTTCTTTATTTTCTAGGAGGAGGAAATGTTGTCTGCCCAAGGAAGAGAGGAAGCATCAGATAGGCGTTTACAGCAGTTACAATCTAGTATAAAACAATTAGAAACAAGGTAAATTGTTAAATACGTCTAGCTTTCTCTATAAGCTTCAAAATGTTTTCCACATTGGAGTTTCAGTTTATGATATTTTCTAGAATATGTATTTTATAACTGCTAAACAAACTATAATCCTAGGTTTTAAATCTGATTTACTGGACATTATTTATTTTAAAAATCATGTTCAAAACATTGATATATTTTGAATGTATATTCAAAGATCATTTCTGTCTACCTTTTCCCCAAAGCAGTCATAGTCAAGTTTAGTCAATCCCCAAATCAGAAATGTTCTTTCCATCTTAAAGCAAAAAAACAAAGTTGGGTAAAAATTAAACAGAAAAACTATCTTACTAAGTAGGTACACCAGAGAAAAAGTACTCAAGAAATCATTATAGGTGTTTTCTCTGGAGTCTTCTGGAGCAGTAATTTTCAATTATCTTTGAAGGTCTGGACTACTCTTTAAATATATTCTGTAGGTTGTCTTTAATCGCTATCTTAATGTAAATGTGCACTATAAAATCTTTTGTTGTTTTTGTTATTTCCTAGTCCTCGTTGAATGTTCCCTTAAAAGATTTGAAAATTGTCATTTGTAATCTATTAAAGATAACAGTGATGACCATAGCCCATAAATTCACTTTATGAGTAATAGCCGAAAAATCTACTCTGTATGATTGGAATCTTTTACACTCAGAAATAGTCTGCTGATCTGAGCACATTAAAAATTGAGATCTCAGTTCTAGTCATAGATCCAAAGTTAATTTATTGTTTGTTGAGAAAAAAAAAATTAGTATGTTTGACCTTCTGGTTCCTGTTCTTCAGAGTATTAATAAAAATAATTTCTTTCCTCATGGCAGTTGAGAACTAATTGATTTTAACTACTAACTTGAGACTTTGATGAAAAGAGTTGTAATTTTTAAGTGCTAGGGTTTTTGGGTTTTGCGTTTCACTTTTCTAAACTTTTCTGCAGTTTATTGATTGATTTGATTGTACTACTGCTTTCCTGAACTTCTTTGTGTTAACCTTAGAAAAAAAGTCTGGTTGTAGATTTTCATTTCTATTATCTTAGTAGATATTCTATGCTATGAAAATAAATGCTAGAGACTTAAAACAGTAAACTCTTGAATAGTGAATTTTAATTCCTTTTGATTCTAATAATACTGAATCATAAAGAATCAAGTTGTTTTTTTCATTTAACAGTGCTTTGTCTTTTTAGTGTTGAGAGTTTGCAGATTTTTGTTATTGTTGTTTTAAATTTTTTTGCTTTTAGTATGAAGCTATAATACAACCTAACCAAATAGCTCTCTAAGAAGAGATCAGTGCATGTATAAGAAAATCTAAGGATATTTTTTAAAGTCCAGTATGCAGCTAGCCACCTCTGAAAAGGAAATTTTTACATTGACTGCCTTTTAGAGCTATTAAACTAATACTGTTACTGTTATGATAAAAAAAAGCTTATATACTTTAAAGCTTAAAAAATCTCTTGTACTTCTGTATAAGGAAAGCAGAGTTACTAGTGTACTTGATGTGTGTTTCTAAGCACCATTCAGCCAATCTGTTTTAGGTGTAAATGTATCCTATTTAATGGAACTGCCAGTTAGAAAAGTTTTGTTTTTAATGGTCATCTCTGTTCCACAAAATCAGAGACATTTTGGCCTCAATAAATGCTTTTTTTGCCATTATTAAAATTATTATTTTTAAAATTATTATTCGTGATCCTTTCAAATGTCATAAACACCTAAGAAGCATAAGTTATTTCCTTCTGTCTTTCAAAGAAAGGGTCCCTCCTCTCCCCCTTTTTAGATGATCCGTGGATCCTGGGAATTGCCTCCAGAGAATGACAGTTCTTTCTGGGAAAGATTTTGCTGGTTTGTATATGCTCAGCTAAATAAGGCAGAAGTTAAATGAGTGGAATTGGTTTAAACTACCTCTTCATACTTTTAAATTTGGTGTTTCTTTTAAAATAATATGCAAATAGGACTAAGGAATATTCATTTAGGTGACTGGTAAATAGTGAATTTCATTCTAATCATTGTTCAGCTTTTTGTTTGCTGCCGTACTCCTAAGCATAATAAAATACATAAATTCTTTCATTAAAGATGTTGAAATATGGTCTTTTGGAAGGCCATGCATTGGAAATTGGTGAATATGGTTGGATAAAATATGGAGGACCTTGGAAATAAAATTAGTCAAATTTGGATTTCATGTGATGTATTACAAATTCTTTATCCAAGACTGCATGATGAAATTAATATTTTACAAAGATTAATTTGATGATATTCTCAAAGTAAGGCTATCTGGGGACGGGACTATAAATTGTTGGAGTAAAAAGATTTTGAGATTTAGAGGCAGAATTGCTTTGATTTCTGGTTCTGGTACATTCTGTCTTTATATCTTAGAGAAGTTAACCAACCTCACTTAGCTGCAGTTTCGTTAGGATTAAATGAGAGAAGAGTGTGTAGGGGACCCAGCACCAAGTTTATTATTTTAAAATGAGTCTACTTATAATAATAAATGATAATTATTCCCAATGGTAAAAATGGTTTTGGATTTTAATTGTTTTAATGGCCTTAACGAAATAGAACAAGGTAGAAAAAAGGTCTATAATAAACTGTCACAAAGAATAAAACAGTCTTCATTGTTACAAAGAATAAATGTCTTAAATCTTTTCCACAGTTATAACTCCTTGATTTATTATGAAATGTTTGCAAATTAATCTGAATATTTTTGAATATTGCTATTGACCAAATAAAATTATTTAATTATTGTATCAGTTCTGTAAGAAAGGTTTTGTATGTTAGTTATAAATTGGATAAATTGGCTTTATTCATTGTTACTTTTATTTTTATCAAAGGAAAAATATATAAGCATTGTTTCAAAATCATACAGTACCACAAGCATTATAATGAACAATGGTTTCTTGTTAATTATCTCATTTCTTCACATCGCAAATTTTCTATGTACTTCATACTAATTCATAGCTAAGTACTCTATCAAAGCTCTAAAATGCCTCTCAGTCTGGTCAACCACATGAGGTCATTGTAATTACATCCTTTTCTTGAAGAAATCCATTGGTGTTCTCCATCCCCTGCCTAAGACCGTTCACTAGGACTGATGCAAGCTCTCATTTTAAAACCTTAATTTGCTGTGGTCCTGGGATTTCCTTCTTGCCATTCTGTATTGGAGCCTGTGTCTTTTGCATTCCCATGGCTGCTTCTTTATTGACCCTCTCATTTTAATTCTCCATCAGCTTTCTGAGGATACATGGGACACATTTTTTTTAATTTAATTTTATTTCATTATGTTATGTTAGTCACCATACAAGTACATCATTAGTTTTTTTTTTCATCATTAGTTTTTGATGTAGTGTTCCATGATTCATTGTTTGCGTGTAACACCCAGTGCTCCATGCAATATGTGCCCTCCTTAATACCCATCACCAGGCTAACCCATCCCCCCAACCCCCTCCCCTCTAAAACCTTCAGCTTGTTTCTTGGAGTCCATAGTCTCTCATGGTTCCTCTCCCACTCTGATTGCCCCCCTTCCTTCATTTTTCCCTTCCTTCTCCTAATGTCCTCCATGCATGGGACACATTTTTTAAGATTTGCTTATTTAGAAATATCTTTATCCTACTTTCAAAGGTGTTTGATAGTTTTGTTGAGTAATGAATCATAGGTTGGAAATCCAAGGTTTTAAATCCTTTTTCCTTAGAATGTTGATATTTTCCTTAAATTGTCCAGCCTCTAGCTATAGGAAAAAATTCTTATGTCATTCAGAATTACAGTTTTATATATGATTCCTCTTTTCCCTCTGGAGACTTTTAGGATCATCCACCCACCACCACCACAATCAGTGTTCTAAAATTGCACAGTGTGTACATGCAGTGAGAATCCTTTTTCATTCTTCTTACCGGGAAATTTCAGTCTAGAAATTCATTTCCTTCAGTTCAAGGAATTTTTTTATAGATTTTTTCATTTGATAGTTTTCTTCATTTTTTCTCTGTTCATTTTGCTTGAACTTAATATTAGTTAAATATTGGACCTTACGGATCGATTCCCTAATTTTCTTTTCTTTTCTCTCTTGTTTTTCATTCCTTCATTTATTTTCTCCTTTCTTGGAGGTTTCCTTAAATTTTCTTCTAATTAACCATCTATTGAATATTTTAGCTATCTTAATTTTATTTTAAAGAGCCATTTCTTATTCTGTTTCTTTTTCTGTAGTAGCTTATTCTTATTTAACATGTTATATCTTAGTTCAGTATATTAAATATATATTTTATAAGGTTTTCTTCTGTTATTGTCTCTGCTCTCTCAATATTCCTTTTTTTCCTATATGCCCTTCTGTTTTTCTTGGTGCTTGGTGATCCTTTCTATCCATTGATATTTAAGAGTAAGATAACAAAGTACTTGCTTTAGCAGCACATAAAAATTGGAATACAGAGAAAATTAGCATGGCCCACAGACAAATTCATGAATCATTCCATATCTTTAAAAACCAAACTTGTAGGTAGAGAACAGACTGGTGGTTGGGTTGGGGGAAGGGGGGTGAGATGGGTGAAGGTGGTCAAAAGTTATGAATTTCCAGTTATAAAAGACATACGTGATAGGATGTAATGTATAAAATGGTGACTATAGTTAATAATACTGTACTGTATATTTGAAAGTTGCTAAGAGAATAGATCTTAAACATTCTTATCATAAGAAAAAAATAGCTATATGTGGTCATGTATATTAACTAGATTTATTGTGGTGACCATTTTACATTGTATACAAATACCAAATCATTATGTTGTACACTTGAAACTAATATAATGTTACATGTCAAATATATTTCAGTTAAAAAAAAAAGAGAGACACCAAAAAGCAGATAAGAGGCTAAGTGTGCATAGGTGGGTTGTGATCTGGCGGACTTTACTGTATTATGTTGAGGCAGTAAGCTGGCTTTTTCCTCGAGCAGTTCCCGTATATCAGAGTCTTTGCTGGGCCAGTTTCCCCAGGGTAGGATTTGTCAGTCTTCTGCTGTGGCCTGGGAGTAAAAATGCACAAGCCTGAGTGTATTCCAAAGTTGAGGAAAGAGTCTGGGAGTAATGATGTTCAAAAAGACTTTATTCAATAACCTAGGTTTTAGTATGCCTTCTTACCCCCAACTTTACTTGAAATGACAGCCCCTTGCTGTGTAGTTATAGGTACATAGATCTGTGGGCTGAATCTGTATCATTTAAGTGGAAGTTTGTGTTTGGCAGTATATTTATTAGGAACATGGACTCTGGACCCAGACTGAGTTCTAACTCTGACTTCACCAGTAACTAGATAAATAACCTTGGTCATTTTGCTTACCCTTTCTGTACTACTCTTTCTCCATCTATAAAATAAATGTAATGCTATAACCTCTTATGTCTCCTATAATATAAGCTTATATCCTACCTCATAGGTTAATGATATAACCTATCTCACAGCACTGTTGAAGATACTGAGGATTATGTTTTCTTTCATATAAAGTATCTAGCACAAAGAATGTAATTATATGTTTTTGCTGTTATCCTTTTCGTTACCATTATTACAAGGAGGGAACCTGACCCAATTTTAGCAAGTTGACAGGATTCTTAAAGATTTGGCTTATAAGAGCATGTAGAAGTGCCTTTATGAGAATAAGAATAGTAGTAATATGTCTTTTATGTTATAAAATTGTGGAAACCTATAAATTATGAAGCTGATGATCTGAATCTGCTTTACTGTAACTCCACTTCACTTCTAAAACCAGTCTGACTTTTCAGAGCCAAGTGGCTGCTGCGGCTGCTAGACTGTTGAATGCATGTGAAACTTTTAGTTGCAAGCTTTTTCTGACATGACTGGGTGTGAAGCCTGGATGAGAATGTCAGGGAGCCTTGACTCAGGGTTTGAATTCACCCAGTCCTGAACAAAGCTTGTTCTTGAGAGATGAAGTAGGTACATGCCCTTCATGAGTCACCTGCTCTGCCTGGCCCCGAAGAGGCCATGGTGAAACAAATGGTGAACTAATACTAGTAAAGTGCTATATGTCCTATGCCTCTTTGAGAGAGGTTGGGGCTGCTTCATTTTGTTCCACGAATGCTTTACAGTAAAATAGAATGAATAATGTCATATATTTTGGCTCAGGTCATGATCTCATGGGTGATGAAATTGAGTCCCAAGTCAGGCTCTGCATTCAGCGGGGAGTCTGCTTGAGATTCTCTCTCTCCTTCTGCCCTTTCCCCCCTTGCTCTCTGTCTCTCTTTCTCTCTCTCAAAATAAATGGATAAATCTAAAAAAAAAAAAAGTAAGGCCCAGTAATATATTAGAAAACACCTAAAACAAAGAGTAAATGAACTAGAACATAGCTCTCAAGGAAGGGAAGATGAAGAGAATTAGTTTTAAATTTAAAATAAAGGTTTTAGTGGAGCACATTAGCAACTTAAACAAAAAGAAAGGAGGAGGGACAGTCTTAATATTACACAAGGTCTAGTTTCATGGTAAAAAGCAGTAAACAATAAAGAGGGACCTTATGTATTGAAAAATGACACCGTTTTGAAAAAGATACAACATTAATATACCTAAGTACAGCAAGTAATAGGATAGCTAAATATGTGATGCAAAAGCTCGGAAATTTGATGAAAGGGTGGTTTTGATAAAAATATAGTTATGGTCATTATTTTGGGCCATCTAAATCTGGAATTCCCCATATTATAGCTCTTCATGAGAGAATCAGCTAATTCTGTGGTGAAGTTTTGAGCATGTCCCTTGCTACAAAGATTCAAACTCGATTTTCCAGCTCTCCCAGTAAGTCTGTGAACTTACCAATATCCTTTTTAATAAACCCTTTTTCTGCTTAAATTAGAGTTGGCTTCTACTACTGGCAACTAAGAACCCTGACTAAAATGGTGGTAGACCTTAACTCCATTCAGAATGAAGCAGATATACCAAACAACAGCAACAACAAAAATGTTTAAAAATAGAGATCTAAAAGGTAGGCTGAGTTCTCTCATTTCCCAAAACTGGGAGAGTCTGAGGTGTGCTACAGCAGGGAAGTTTCCTCCCGGTTCTTCGGTGTGGGTAGCAGGAGTGGGAAGAGGCTAGAGAATGCTTCTCCTGCCATCACTTAGAAAAAAGAAATGCCTGAAAATAACAAAGAAAAATATGAAATGTAAGAGAAGAGTTATCTTACCAGAATGTATCAGAACCTATTATAAAGCCATATTGATCTGATTTGGGTATAGAATAGATCAATGAAACATGATAATCCAGAAGTAAATCATTATATTTGCATATTTTAAGTATGTTAAGGGGATTATTTCAATTCATCAGTTACTAATGGTATTCCTACAACTGACCATCAGTCTGGAAGTTAAATTGGACTTCTCTCTTATAACACATTCAGAAGTAAACTCCAGGGGCGCCTGCGTGGTTCAGTCGGTCAAGTGTCTGCCTTTGGCTCAGGTCATGATCCCAGCGTCCTGGGATCAAGTCCCACATCGGGCTCCCTGCTCAGTGGGAGTCTGCTTCTCCCTCTCCTCCCTGCTTATTCTCTCTCTCTCTCTCACTATCTCTCTCTCTCTCTCTCAAATAAATAAAAATCTTTAAAAAAAAGTGAACTCCAGATGCGTATAAGATTTACTAGTAAAAATATTAAAGGCATAGCAATCTTTTGAGGAAATCTAGGAAATTACATTAACAATCTATGGAAGACGGAAATAGTCTTTATAAAAAATGAAATCCTACAAGCTGGAAAAAAAAATCAAATTTAGCTGTATTAAAGTGAACATTTTAGTTTAGTAAAGAATTCCTAAATAGAGTCAGTAGGCAACAACAAAAAAAGTAGATTTGGGAAAAATACTTGTAGCATACAGAATAGCCCGAAGGTTTATATCTTAACATTCAAAGAGTTCATATAAAAGAACAAGCAAATAACCCATCAGAAAAAAATTGGCAGAGGATATGAAGAGGAAATTCAAAACGGACAGTTCACATGGCTGACAAACTAAAAATATGCTTAAACCCTCCAGTAATCAGGGAAATACAAATTAACAGTGAGATGAAGTTCCATCCATCAGACTAGGAAAAGAAAGAGCTTTTGGATGTATTGCTTGAGGGGATTTCTCTAAATACAGAATGAGAAAAGCTGGGGGGTGGGAGGGATTGGGTGGCTAGGTGATAGACATTGGGGAGGGTATGTGCTATGGTGAGCACTGTGAATTGTACAAGACTGATGAATCATGGATCTGTACTTCTGAA